AGATGAATAAACATTATTTTTCTTAAATGTGACTAATAATTCTATAAGAAAAATTATATTAGGTTCCTATGAGAATTAAAATGTAATTATGTTTAAATTTATAAAAGTTTAATTTTTTTATTTATTTTTTTTAAAAATTCGAGGTAATGGGTCAATAAATTACTCTTTATTTAATTTAAATTTTGCTAATTTATTTAGAAAATTTAAATCAAAACATACATCAAAAAATTCAAAGCAACTTCTCTGTAAGTTGTCCAAAGTGGATTGGAAGACTCGTTAGGGCCATTACTGGTCTGTACGTCTCAATGATCTATCCAAATTTGGATCTTTAAACTAGGATCCAAAGTGAGCGTATGTATCAAAACAAACTAATTTTCTTAAAAAAAAAAAAAAAACTATTTAGTAATCATGGATACCAAAAATGTAAATTATCTAAAAAATTTATAAGAATTTTTATTTTTATAAAAAAAAGTGAAGTTTCATCAGGATAATAGTGGATCACACTCACCCTTTTTGGAGATGTACCAAAAAGGCTAAAATCAAAAAATAAATAAAAAAACGTAAAAAGTCAACAACAAAAAAAATTCAAAGATTCATTCCCCTTCACTTTCATTTTTGCATAAAAATTAAAAAAATCATTCACAAATATATTATAATTTTTCATTTCATATTTTACCCAAAAAAAAAAAAAAAAAAAAAAACAGCTAAAAAACACTTATTTCCCAAAACAAGGAGCTGTGGAATATATGTATAATTTTATTACTATATTTTTAGGGTGCTAAGCTCATTGTATATTTATGGCCTCAATTGGGAATTGGTGTAATTAGTTTGGTTTTTTAATCTATTTTATTGAGACGAAAAAATTGTGTTATTTAAAATGATTTAGAATTTTTTTTGAGTTGAATATATGGTTGTGAGAGAAAAAAAAAATGAATTAATGATGTAAAAATATAATATTTTTGTCTCATTGATTATTTTGATTTTTTTTTTTTTGTGTCTTTGTTAACTATTTTAGCCTTAAAAACCATCATCCCAAACACCCCCATAATATACTACGTCT